AAATAATAATAATAATTAAAAATTTAAAAATTATTGAAATTAAAATTTATAGTAAAATATAATAAGTAGACTCAAACTTTTGAAAACAACTATATATATATATATACATTACTTATATTAAAAAGTCTATTGATATAATAACTATATACTATTGACTTGACTTAATAGATTATTGCAAAAGTAAATAAATTTTATTCTTTAATAAAAAAATACAATATATTTGTTAATAATTCTTATTTAAAAATTAAAAATATTTAATTATATATTTTTTAACAATAAATTGATTTTATAATATACAATGTAATAGTTTTATGGTTTTTAGATGGTTTATAAGACATTAGCAAAATGCGCATTTATTATTCTCATTTAAAAATTCATTCATTATTACTAAACAATCCATAATAAAGCATTTAGTAAGAAAACTTTATACTGTATTTAGAATCTGATGACGCATGCAAAAATATGCAGCATTATCTTCATCAGGTACTGTAAATATAGATAAAATTCCTTTCCTAGCAAATAGCGGAGAGGAGAAAATAGACTAATAATATAACAAATATTAAAAAGTTCTGTTTCGTTTGGTGATTAATAACAATGTGACTACTAAGTGATATCAACCCATTGCTAATAGTGTTATTATTATCACAATATAGTTAAACTTCTATTGATTTTTCTATCCCGTGATTAATGTGACAGGTTCGAATTGGTCTACAAATGAATTTCCGATTCCCTGTTATGCACTTCGTTTTATGTCTCTTAAAAAATGCACCCGTTTTTTAAAATCAAAATGCTAAAGTAACTAATCAAGAGAATCTCGGAGATTTTCCACAATACTTTGAGAAACCACGGCTGCACATTCCCAAGGTCACCTAAAAATGGATCAGATCTTAATCCTGAATAAATCATTTCTTTGTGAAAATAAGCGTTAGTTAGATGTGGCGATCTATTGTTATTTACGAAATGAACTAGCGATCGTTCAGAGAAATATACTTATCTTCCACAGGTATCCACCGATAGTTATTTTTTCTCGAAATGTAAACAACCACGCGAATGATTTTTCTCCAAAAACTAATGATCTATTAAAATATTAATTTTATTTGACATTTTTTTTACAAACAGAATTATAGAAACAAAAAGGGAGAATAAAAAACTCGTCTTGTGTCAAAGTGCATAGCGAGGGGAATTTTTTCCAAATCTAATTCCATCGCATCTCAGGTTCACAAAATTCTAATTAAAAAAAAAAAAGAACAGCTAACAACTAAATAAAAAATAGGAAATCGAAAAGGATTAATTGAATGCACTCAATTCTTAAAATAAAAAAAAAAAAAAAAAAACGGTGAGGAAAAAGGTTTAAAGATGAAATCGTTTAAAGAACAAAGGTATGGTAAAAAAAGATTATTATTATTATTTCTTTTTTTTTTTTTTTTTTTTTCGACTTATTTATTCATAAGGAATAATACCCAAGAAACCTCCCTCTTTCAAAGAAATTATGTACAACATATTTATCTTATATTTGTTGAAAAATCTATAATTTAAATGTAATCGACAACTACTAAAATTTGCGTCTCCTGAATTTTTGGACCATGCCTAGAAAAATATAAAAAAGAAGAAGGGGATAATAAACTTTAAGTACTAAAATGTATGATGCAACTGTAAGGCTACGACATTGTTTATCTTAGATGTTCGCAGCATTAATTTTAGAAAGAATAAAAAAAAAATTGTCATGATTCTTTTATTTTCATTATTCATTTTTTGTGAACCCTCTGATGACGACGCAGGTTGCTCATGACCGAAAAGGGACGACCACAACCTTCGACCTGGCATTTAAAAGGTTTCTCCCCAGTGTGAGTGTAAGAGTGTGTTGTCAATGAACTTGGACGAGTGAATCTCTTCTGGCAGATTTCACACTTGTACCTCTTGGGTGTCTGAGGTACAGGATTTGTGCTAAAGGTAGTGGTCATCGTGTTATTTGTTGTCGTCGTGGTGGTGTCTTGCGTAGCTTGCATCTTTTTTGAGAAGCAGAAAGAAGTAGTTGTTGCTTAATTATGGACCGTCAATCATTACACATTCGCTACTTATTATCGACGATCGAAAGTGCCAGGTGATAAAAATGTGATGATCGACACTGATTATTGGACGATTTGTTCAACAATAATTATTATTATCATTATTTTTTACATGGTATCAGATCTCTGTGATAATCGACTTTTGTCTCATTATTGGCCCGAATTACTGTTAAATCCTTTGTTATTGAGGCTGACAATCTGCCAGCAGGCTTTAGATGGTTATATCAATGACGATAAACGGAGTTAGAGAAAAGATAAATGCCGTCTCTCGGTCGGCTAAATTCTCTTCCACGCCATCGCCAGCATTTTCAACGTTCTCATATTGTATCGTATAAAGAAAGGATCTACGGTTTTGATAACGGCAGAACTTTAATGAATCAATTATGGAGTTATCACTTTACATTCCACCAACGTGGTGCCGTAAATTACGCGACGTGGATATAACATGAACATCAATAGTTGGGCCGTATTATGCTAATAAAAATAATAATACACATACTGTATAGTAGCTTTATTTGTATATTAAAAAATAAATAAATAAAATATATTAATTTCTTAAAAAAAAATAAGCAGTATATTATTAATTATAATAAATACTTTTATAAAAAAACAAAAAAAAATTCTATTAATTTGTTTTTTTCTTAAAATAATTTTTTTTTTGTAATTTTTTAAAAAAAAGTCAAAATATTAAAAAACTTAATAATATATTGTATATAAAAATAATATTTTAAGATATTCTGTATTTTAAAATTTATCAAAACTCTAAGTATAACTTCAAAAGTGATTTATTATTTTATTAGTAGTTTAGATAAAGACTTTTTTAACTGCTAACTTTATTATCTGCAGATTACTACTATAGATTACTCTGTGATATTCTAATAGAGCTCAAAATTCAATTACTTTATTTCATATACTATTTTTTTGATTAAAATTTCTTTGAGACTTTATTTTCTAATTTTTCTTTTTCTAATAGTAACTTTCTTTTTGACAACAATATAATTTTCTAACCTAGAAAATATGAAAGTTTCTTTGTTTTATTCTTTTTATAAATTCTTTATAATTGTTTCTATTTAATTATTTTTCATATTTTTTATATCAGATTCTTTTACAGACTTAATTGCAAACTCTTTTTTACAAAGTTATTATTCATTTTCTTATAATTTTTTTTATATATTTTCCATAGCATTTTAGATTTATTATTTCTTAAATAAAATTACTTCTCATAAGGTTGATACAAAAGCTTAAAGTATCTTGACTAGTTTTAGATATTTGTACCACTAGTCTATATTAATTTATACACTTTTAAAGTATTGATTATGTTGTTATATATAAACCAATATAATTATTGATTGCCAAGATGATATCTTTCCTAATAATGTTTTTGATGAGATCTAAGATTGCTTGGTTAGATTTGTTAAAAGACATGTCTCTTATTATGTGATAAAGAGAAAAAGTGATAATAGATATTTTGCAATCTTTCAGATTATATATAAAGATACTTGTTAATTTTTGCTTATGTGTTTCACACGTTGTGGTACATAAAAAGACATAGGAAGTAGGTTTTATTTTTTGACATTTAATACAGTTTTTGTTTTTGTATAAGTGTGGTATGCATCAGTTTAGTTTGGTCATGGTAGTTAGTTCATTATTCCAAAGTTGATTGCAAATTTTTGAGTGTTGTGATCAATTATAGATGTATTTTCATGATTAATATTACTAGAATTGAGATAGTTGAAAGTGCTTTGCCAGTTTATTATTTTGTCTTTTGTGTGTCAATTTATGTTCTATTTCTTTTAAGAAGTCTTCATTGAGCTAGATATTTGATGTGAAATACTGTCTTGCAGAAATCTTTAATTGATATGTCTATTATATTGTGTCTTTATGTGACATAATATAGGTTTTTTGCAAAATGATGGTGAAATTGAGTTCTATTTGGCCTGACATCATATTAATATAGTTGATTTTTGCCAGCCAATTGACTGTTTTATTGCCTGCAATACCTGTGTATACTTTTACTTTATATAGAGAGAGTTTAATTCGATAGTCTTTGCATTTTTGCATGATGTTAAGTGTAATACTCCAATTCCTGATATTTCTAATAATTGTAAGCTGAAGTATATGTAGCTTTATTTATTGTATCGATAGTTGCTTGACTGTCTATGTGAACTGCAATTGTAGTATTTCTGGGTATTGTTAAAATTACTGTGAAAATTACCATCAGCTTTGTCCTGGTTGAGAATAGTAGGCTTTATACCTACTCTTTGAACTGATATCAGTTGAGTTGATTAGTAAGAATACAACCAAATCCCATATGAACAAATATTTTGAAGCGATCCAAGGATCTATCTGTAAATGCTATGAATTGGTAATGTTGTTCATTTGCTATAGAGATGTTGAGAAGCTCTTAAAGTAGTTTGGTGTCTCCTGTAATTTAATTACGTAAGATAATAAGTTTATCTTATTAATGATCGATATATATTTGAACTGAAGGAGATTGTGTTATACTATTTGTGTTTATGTATTCTATAATTTATTGGGTGCTATATGTTGAGATCTGGACTCTTTAGAATGGATAGTTGTTTAATATATTATTGAGACTTTTGTAACTATATGTAATGGGAATTTGTTAAATCTAGAACATTGTTCTAGAGAAAATACATTGCTATATTTGTGTGGGGGATTCATTGACTGAGCATTCACCATAAGGTTTTAGTAGTAAGTTTCTTGCTATGCACTTGTAGTATATATAGACTATCTTTTCCTATATGTTTCTCTGTTTTCTATCAATTGTTTTAGTATCCCTGTTTATTATTAAAACCCAATGCTTGAGTGTGTGATGTGTCACTGTCTTGTGTCGGTGAAAGGGGTTGCAGATTTCTATAAAGTTTAGTAAGTTTAGATCTATGAGTTGTTGTATAGTTTCTGTCAAGTTTATGAACTATTTAGGAATATGTGTGATATATTTCTTGTGATATTTTGGGATACAATTCCAAGACAGAATTCTAGTGCAATCTTCATTTATAATTTGATAAATAAACATGATGTTATATTTTTATAATTGTTTTCTTGGCATGTTTGTCCATTTTGTACTGAGATATTCTTTTAGAGTAACTCTCATTTTTTTAATTAGAATAATGGATTTGGGATGTTAAATTAATATATCAACTTGTTTGAATAGCCAGATAATATCATGAGTAAGATTTGTGCCTGGTTTGTGAATTGCCTTACTTAAGTGAATACAGACTGGATTGGGGAACCAGAAGTTGTTTTGTAGTTGTTGGAGTTTAAACATTGTTATTTGTCCTGCTAAGTTAGATTTGTTAATTCTAGAAATAAAATTTGTTACATAGAATTGCACTTGTCTTTCAAAAAGGTTAATAATGTTATATTCAAATTTGTTGAATAGCATGTTATTTAGGACTGATCTTGTTAAGTCAACTTTGTATTTAAAGTATTAATAGCATTGATTTTATTCCATATCGCACATTATCAACTCTCTACTATATATCCCTAACCACCACTTTCAAAGAAGCATTCCTTCAAAACTTTATGTTTTGAGAGTAATAAAACTTCAAAACTTTTCCTAAAAATATCTACTTTTCTTGGCAGTAGTTATACTCTACTCTTTATGTTTACCTTTTCTCTTAACAAACCCACTATCTAAGAAGTTAATAATAAGAAAGCTTTTCTAGAAAGAAGAAATCAGACAAAAAGTACACTTCCTCTCTTCCCTATGAAGGTCCCAGAGTTCAGAAAAAAGTTTGGGCCAACAACTTCATGCCAACCAGCAGACAGATATCAATACCACAGACAAATACAACTTTTCTCTCAACATATAGCAGTTTTTTTGATTTTCTGGAGAATTTTGCCTACCCTAACTTGACCTTGAATTTTCTGTTATACCAGACTCTGGGTGGATGGATTGGCGGAAGTCTGGGATTGGTTGCTCCACAGTTAGCAGAAATATAAATAAGGATACATATGATATACAATGTGAATGTATTTCTTAAGCTTTATAAGAATCTCCTATTTTATTTTCTTATAAATATTTTCAACCTTTCCTCTCCATTTTAATTTTTTTTTTAACACTAATAGTTACAAGACTAATATAAAAGATCCCAACACTGAATGGTATTGGGACTCTTGGGCAAGTCCTGACATGTTAAATTCCATTAGTGGATGGCAACAAGCCAATCGGTGAGTGCATTAGTGTACTCTAGATAATATCAATTCCTGAATATGGGGATGGGTAAGCAATATACAATTTGTATATCTTATTTATCCTTTGCTTTGTTTTTAAAAGAGAAGTATTTACATTAGGCAGTTATATATTTTCCTTATCCTGATTAGGTTAGACATAGATTGAGTCATAAAAATAGATAACTCTTTGTTCTATTTCTTTCTAATTATCTGTAAATCCTCAGATAGTACAGGAAAGTATTTATCCCGATTGTTGCTAAATATGATCTTTTCATAATAAAGCACTGGAGAAGGCATGGAATAAGCCAGTTTTAAAATAAAAATAAAAATGATTTTATTGTACATTGTTTCTAAGAGTACCATATTAATTAGAAGGTATTTTAGGGCTAGAATTAGGATATACTTAATAATATATCTTGCTTGTTTATTTGTGATATTTTTGAATTTCATAAGATTTGAGCTTTTTCTTTCATTAATTGTACTTAGTATTATTTATTACCTTTGGATGTATATCATATTCCTAAAATTCTAGTTGGAATATTTAGTGTAAGGCCTTGAATGATCTGATTATCGAATGTGACTCCTTGGATTTTATTTAGTTGTATGCCATTAATTATAAGTAGTACGGATTTACTTAGATTGATCTGAATGTTATTGATAGTATAAAATTCTTGTATAGTGTTTAAGATATGTTG